CCGTCCACTCACACCTGCTTGTCCTCCAAATGATTAAGCAGGTTCCCATTTCACCTTCACAGGTGCTTGCTGAAATTTAGAAACTTCTTATAGCATTCTATGTATTTATTCCTAATTTTCCACTGTGTAATTTTAATTTTATACGCATTAATAAAAATTTAACTCATTAATCCATGGGTTTTAATGTGTTTGTTTCTGTATTTATGAATCTGTCACCTGCAGCCGCCAGGCCCTAGTGAATGGAAGCCAGCCCGGCACGTGTCGCACTTCTCCCCCGTCACGCCAACTCGACAAAGACACCTTCCCTCCGCATCACACTGGAGACTCACTGATCCTGCGAGGGAACCCAAAGCGTCAAGCAGGAAAACGACAAAAACAAAATGAATTATTTTTAAAAAAAGGAGGAGAAAGGTAAAAAATGTGAAGCATACATAAAAAATAAAAAATAAATCTATAAAGGTTATTAGTAAATACACATAATGGATGGATGCACTATTAATAGTTTGTCACTGTGTGGTTTTTAGAGTCACTTCTTATTGAATTTCCAATCACAAACCTCAAAAAGAAGCTTGGATAGCAGGGTATAACCTTGCAGCCACATTGTAGCTGATATAGTGTGGCTTTAGTTAATGGACATAGAAAGGGCAGCTGGGGCAGAAGGAGGAGTAAAGGAAGCCTTATAGAGTGTGCTATAACGCTTGATCAATGTAATGGACTCCAGCAGCTCTGTAAAATCACCTTACTGCATTAATAATGGGGGGACGTATGATGAAAATGGATAAACATTTATGGTCTCTGGCATAAAAAAAATCTGCAAAGTCTACAAGCGTTGCAATATTCTCATTTCAATTCAATTCAATTCAATAAAAAAAATCTTTATTAATTCCAAAGGGAAATTAAATGTTAGTGTAACTCGTTATCCTCATATCATTCAGAGATGCTATAAATACTGATGGCTGTAGGCAGGAAAGATCTCTTGTAAAGGTCAGTCCCACAGCAGATCTGAAGAAACTGTCCGCAGATGCCGTCCAATCCATCCACCCAGACTTGGCTGGCCTCTTGGTTCCTCCAGGCAGCAGGACCACCCGAATGCCGGGCAGAACTCCTCCCAGAGTGATGGCCACTCCTCCCAGTAGCCTGCTGAACTGCTCATCGCTGCGGACAGCCGGCTGCAGGTGCCAGGGGATGATCCTAGTCCTTCTTCTGTCACGAGCCGTGTTTCCTGCTTGTTACAAGATCTCAGTGGTCAGGCACTTAAGCACAGCCGGCAAGGAGATGGGAATGCATCCACGGCGCCTTCTTTTCAACTCATTTGAGATTTGGGGCTGTAGTTGAGATATTATATGAGCTTTAGAGTAGTTAATCTGCTGCTCCCAGTTGTAAAAAAACAAACAAACAATTAATGTGTTGCTATGGTTATACATCATAACAAATGTCCAAAAGTATAAAAAGTTTCAGTAAGAATCCTTCCTGCTGCACAGCGTCCGAAACTAGAGGAAACAATCATCCAAAAATTGTGATTTACATCCAGAAAATGAGGAATTAAAGTTTCCAAAAGCAAAAATCTCAGAATGAAGCTACAGAGCTACTGTA